TTTTTAGTTGGCTGTGGATAAGAATCAGAAATGTTGATGGCTTACAGCCTTTATTTGCCCATTTTGTGTCTTCAGAACTCCTGGCTGACTCAGAATATTTCGCTTTATAAAAGAAAAAAAAAATGTTTTTGTTTTTTAGTGTTCATGATATTCATTTTTTTTAATTGGGACTAGTTTTGTAGCCTAATATTTATTGTAGTAACCGCAGCATTCTAGTGTGAATAAATTTTCAATTTTGTGCTCCAAGCACGCCAGGACTAGAAAACAGCCAATCAGAGAGAGAGAAGGCGGAACCTAAGGCAGAACAACCAATGAGAGTGGAGTTAAACAGCGCAGCACAGCTCCATGCGCTGCTACATGAAAGGGACAGGAGAGACCAGGCAGAGGAGCAGCGAGAGGAAAAGAAGCCACTGCTGCAACAACTACTGCTGTAAATTAGAAACATGTTGCTCACATCCAATTATTGGTCGGGACAATTAGGTCGGTTCAAAATTTTGGTAGGGACATGTCCCTATGGTCCCTATGCAAACCTACGCCCATGTATGTATATATATATATATATATATATATATATATATATATATATATGTATATGTATATATATATATGTGTATATATATATATATATATATATATATATATATATATATATGTATACACTATATTGCCAAAAGTATTTGCTCACCTGCCTTGACTCACATATGAGCTTAAGTGACATCCCGTTCCTAATCCATAGGGTTCAATATGACGTCGGTCCACCCTTTGCAGCTAGAACAGCTTCAACTCTTCTGGGAAGGCTGTCCACAAGGTTTAGGAGTGTGTTTATGGGAATTTTTGACCATTCTTCCAGAAGCGCATTTGTGAGGTCGCACACTGATGTTGGACGAGAAGGCCTGGCTCTCAGTCTCCGCTCTAATTCATCCCAAAGGTGTTCTATCGGGTTGAGGTCAGGACTCTGTGCAGGCCAGTCAAGTTCATCCACACCAGACTCTGTCATCCATGTCTTTATGGACCTTGCTTTGTGCACTGGTGCACAGTCATGTTGGAAGAGGAAGGGGCCAGCTCCAAACTGTTCCCACAAAGTTGGGAGCATGGAATTGTCCAAAATGTCTTGGTATGCTGAAGCATTCAGAGTTCCTTTCACTGGAACTAAGGGGCCAAGCCCAGCTCCTGAAAAACAACCTCACACCATAATCCCCCCTCCACCAAACTTTACACTTGGCACAATGCAGTCAGACAAGTACCGTTCTCCTGGCAACCGCCAAACCCAGACCCGTCCATCAGATTGCCAGATGGAGAAGCGCGATTCGTCACTCCAGAGAACGCGTCTCCACTGCTCTAGAGTCCAGTGGCGGCGTGCTTTACACCACCGCATCCGACGCTTTGCATTGCACTTGGTGATGTATGGCTTGGATGCAGCTGCTCGACCATGGAAACCCATTCCATGAAGCTCTCTGCGCACTGTTCTTGAGCTAATCTGAAGGCCACATGAAGTTTGGAGGTCTGTAGTGATTGACTCTGCAGAAAGTTGGCGACCTCTTCGCACTATGCGCGTCAGCATCCGCTGACCCCGCTCCGTCAGTTTACGTGGCCTACCACTTCGTGGCTGAGTTGCTGTCGTTCCCAAACACTTCCATTTTCTTATAATACAGCTGACAGTTGACTGTGGAATATTTAGGAGCGAGGAAATTTCACGACTGGATTTGTTGCACAGGTGGCATCCTATCACACTTCCACGCTGGAATTCACTGAGCTCCTGAGAGCGACCCATTCTTTCACAAATGTTTGTAAAAACAGTCTGCATGCCTAGGTGCTTGAATTTATACACCTGTGGCCATGGAAGTGATTGGAACACCTGATTCCAATAATTTGGATGGGTGAGCAAATACTTTTGGCAATATAGTGTATGTATATATATATATATGTGTATATATATATATATATATGTATATATATATGTATATGTATAGGAAAATAAGTATTTGAACACGTTGCTATTTTGCAACTTTCCCACTTACAAATCATGGAGTGGTCTGAAATTGTCATCTTAGATGCATGTCCATTCTGAGAGACATGATCTAAAAAAAACACATATATATATATAATGATGTTAATATTTGGTGCAGTAGCCTTTGTTTGCAATTACAGAGATCAGATGTTGCCTGTAGTTTTTCACCAGGTTTGCACACACTGCAGGAGGGGTTTTGGCTCATCCTCCACAAAGATCTTCTCTAGATCAGTCAGGTTTCTGGGCTGTTACTGAGAAACACGGTGACAGCCCAGAAACCTGACTGGCCCATTCTTTCTTCTTCATTAGCCCTGGTGCACCATCTCAGATACCAAGGAAATATGAAGTAAAGCTGCTTTCCATGTTGCATAAAAATGGAAAAACTTCTGCAGTAGAGGTATCACCTCACTTCTGAAACAAGAATGTGTCTGTTTAAATTTGTTGGGCTGCAGCGTCAGAGGCCCCGGTCCAAACAAAGAGGACTTGTATCCTCTCTGAGGATTAATGGGTCACAGCAGTTCCTTCTCTCTGTATTACTTAGCTCCCTGCAATCACACGGCAGGGAAGTCTATCAAGTTAGATTATGAAAGGAGAGGCCTGAATAAACACACTGAATTACCTAAAAAGGAATATGTGATAACAGAAGGAACTGCACCAAAGGTCTAGGCAGGACAGAGAGGAGGATATACAGGCAGAAGGTAAAGATAGGAGAAAGGGTAGATAGGAAGAAAGGCAAACATGAGAGAGTGAATAGAGAATAATAATAGGATGCTGCCCAGATAGAAGATGTGCAGATAGGGATACACACAGATGAGAACTAGATTTAGGAGCTACTAAAAGAACCAGTTCCAAATTAAAAAGGTAAAGACAGAAAAAGAGTAGGAGACGAAGGTGTGAACAAAGCAAAGGGTGCAGATGGGAGGGGAATGTTGAGGAGTTGTAGAAAGAAGGTGATAATAGCAAATAAAAAGTCAAATAGGTAAAAGGATGCAGAGTAAAAAGTCCAGATAAGTGTAGATAAAAGGAGGTGCACAGTCTTCAGATTGAGATGCAGACAAAAGGGGTTACAGACAGGAGAGTAGAAACAGGAGGAGGTAACTTAAAGGAGTACATCATGTGCAGGCAGTTGGTTTATAAAAGGGAAAGATACCTAATGAAATGACCCCCAGAGTGGAAAGAAGCAACACAAAGAAGGAGGTGAAAATAACAAATGGTGACAGAAACAACAGGTGCAGATTGGGGAATTAAACAAATGGGCAGGCAAAAATAATGTGGTCTCTCCTGATTAAATAATCCATAGAGAGGATGGAGGGTTTATTTCTCCTCAGGGTTCCTGCACGTTCAGGTGGGCCCTCTAGGTGTGATCTGCTGATCCGGCACCAAGGTGAGGGATTACAATCCCACTTGTAAGCGCAGTAATCCCAGCTAATCTGGGATTCCTTTTCATTCTGCAGTATGAACAAAGCTTAGGACTGGGGAGGACTTGCAAGCATGGAGAAACAGAGGATGTGTGAGAGCAGAAGATACGTTTGATGCGAGATGTTCCTGCTGGTTCTCCTTCACATCATGCAAACAGCTGTGTTGATCCGTTCCTGCCCAGTTCTCTGTGTCTGCAGCAGTGGAATGACAGAGCCCAGGTAGTTTTTTTTCCTTTCTATTCACTGGTTCTGCTTTATGCATGTTATTATTCCCTCATATTAAATAAATCAGTTTCACCATCATTATCCTAAGATGTAGTTTAAAACATTAGAGTGAGGATTTGACTACTGCAAAGAAATCCAGGCAATATGATTCCTGTGTAAGTCACATTTTGTTTATATTTATGTCATAGACAGCCACTCATAGACTCCAAATAAAAAATGATGCTAATTTCCAGCATGCATGCCTATTTTGTTGTGGGTTTAGCCAAGGAGATGACTTTGACAACTTTTATTGTCTTTTTGTATGCAGAGAGTTAACAAAACAAAATTTACTTTTGTACAGCTTTCATGATATTTCCATTTCTTAAAGTGCAGCAGTGATCAAAATGTAAACAGTGTGGGAGAAAAAACATGGCGCAAAAAATGAATGAATGAAATTGATAAATAGACATGTTGGTTTATACGTAGGCCTCTCCTATTAAGGCAGGAGTGACCAAACTTTTTGCCGTAAGAACCAAAAAATGTGCAGTAGTACTCAGATTGGTCAAAAGTTTCCATTTTTTATTTACCTAAAATACAGAATTCCCAACAACTGCCAAGTAATGCAATGCTTTAATGAAAGCAAGCAAAGCAGTATGATTTCTGTAAAAACAAAAACAAAAAGAAATCTGTAAATTCTAGAATAAGCATTGCAGGTTTAACTTGTAAAAAAGAAAAATACAGCAAACCTTTGACGTTTGTGTCTTTTCAGCAGCAAGGACAAGGATATAGACTCATCTGAAGCCTTTCTTTAGTAGAAGTCACTTGATTTGGAGTTTGTCATTTCCAATTTTTTTCCCCAAGGTTATGATATTTATGTAATTTATTTATTACTTATTTATTTTCAATTGATTGATTGACTTTATTGATCTCGGAGTGGAAAAATGTACTCGCTGCATCGACTCAATTAATACATATATCTATATTACAGCTGAAGTCTCTTATTTAGCAGGATTATTATACAGGGTTATATATATATATATATAGCTATTGCACAAGATATTGCCGTTGTTGTGTCACATTGGTTTCATGGGTGTCTACATCAACTGCTTGAGCTGGAAAACCTAATTTAGGTCATTCTTAACTTGTATTAAAGGGGCCACCTTAAAATTACTCTGAGGGTCGCTAATGGCCTCCAGGCCAAAATTTGGACAGCCCTGTATTAAGGATATTATTAGAGGTGTTTTCTTACCATCTAGTGGTCAGAGTGTGAATTACACCTGGTTCATCTTGTGTGATGGGATCAAAACTGTAAGATGTTTTTTAATATAATAATGTAACATTTTAGCAAACCAAGGCAATTAGGGCAGGGAAGGGAAAATAATGCTTGTAAAGGACAATAATATTCTTTAGGAACCAAGACAACCAGCCACACAGAAGAAATTGTTAAATCTTTGTTTTGGAATCAAACAAATGGCAGCTCAGGACACTGGATAGCAGGAAGTAAGTCCAAATCTGGGGCAGAAAATGATGTTCAGAGGTTGAGTATGGGCAGAATGGCACAACCTTTTTTTTTAATTTGGAACAACCAACCTGTCTGAGTGCTTCCATAAGAAGATCAGAACTCTGTGATGATTGATGACCTGTCCCCCCTAATCACATGTAACAAGAGGAAAACCCCAAGTTTCTGGTACAACAGCAAGACTAAGACAGAATCACATATTTATTTAGCCATAGTTCTCCAACAGTCTCAGTTTGGCCTTCTTAGCCAATACGGTTTACTCAAAATTATATCCATGAAATGCTCAAACATGCTTGTCACGTCATACATGTGTATAGAGGTAAGTACCCTTCTGTAGTTCTGAATGGCTCAGGTTGTTTCTGTTCTTTGTTTCTGCCTCTGTTGGATTTTCATTGTTGTTTTTATTGAAATTTGCTAAACCTAAATCCTGTATTAGTGTATTTGGGTTCTGAAAAACGCTTTTTCTGTGTCTGACTTTATTATATTTCCAAATTTTGTTTCAAAGGATTTTTTTTTTTATTACAAACCTCTACGTGTGCTTACAAATTTAAAAATATATATATTTGTTATATTTCTACACACAAAAAAGATGCTTTTATCAGTCAGAGTTAAAGGTATAGTGGAGGATGTTCTTTTTCTGGTTGGATCATCAAAATGAGTGGTCCTCCTAATTGTCAATCATTCAGGTGATATATTTATGTAAAGACATCCTATATGTTCGTCCCTATTTTCACTTACTGGGGGCGAGTCTGAAATAGAGGAAAAATTGCAAATATTCTTTTGGAAAGCAGGCTTGTATGTTAAACAGAGCATGAAAGAGGAGGAATGGGCTTGTGCATGCTCACGCACGTGTTGAATATATGCGTTCCATCTTGTGTTCAGCTAGAGTTGTGCATGTGCATTTTTTTTTTTAAGTGGAGAGGCCGGGTCTTTCAACAACTCACAAAGATCCTCCACTATACCTTTATTGAAAGTTCATCTTTGCCATGCTTATGTGTTTGGGCAGGTTGGTTCAGTGCAGTGATGCTGGGATGTCCACACTTCCTGTGAACGTTCCAGCCGACACAGTCAAACTTCGCCTGGAGAAGACCCTGATCTCCAGGGTGCCTCGAGCAGCTTTCTATAACCTATCTGAGCTACGCTTCTTGTGGCTGACCTACAACACCATAACATCTGTCCATCCCAGCAGCTTTGTCAACCTGAAGGCTCTAAGAGAGCTGCGCCTGGATGGAAACCGGCTGACAGCCTTCCCCTGGGAGGGGCTGAGAGACATGCCCCGCCTCCAGACTCTTGGACTCAACAACAACCGCCTAACCAGCCTTCCAGCTCATGCTGCGCTCTTCCTACCTAACATCACCTACCTGGATTTATCCAGCAACAGGTGGGTCATGGGGCCACAGTACAAGTGAGACTGTAAAAATGTATTTTATGTCAGCTCCACCTGCTCATTGATTCTCTCTTTTGCTCAGGCTTACCATGTTACCAGCTGAGCTTTTAGACCTTTGGTTTCCTCTTCCAGAGCTACAGGGAGGACCAGTTCAAAGAAAGATCCTAGGCAAGTATAAATAGAATTAGAGAGAAGGGGAAGACATGCAGAAAAGGTCAACAGGCCGGGAGTTGAACCTGCAATTGTCGCATAGAGGACCAAGCCTGTGTGCATGGGATGCACGCTTAACCCCTCAAACACCGCCACGTCCCATGGAAAGAGAAAAAAGAGAAAAGAGAAAATAAATCTGTACAATTGATTGATAAAAAAGAAATCTAAATGAAAGTTAGAAATTAAAGACAATAGCCAGTTCACAGACATGCAGGAAAAACTGCAATAAGTTGATTTTAGAAAAACTGAGAAAAACGTAATTTTAAGAAGACCATTGATCACTCTGCATTCCTAAAGACTGCTGTTATTTTTGAGTCTGCAACAGTATAGGCCAAGTATCGGATATAGCAAAGTCAACAGACCATGATCGTTTATGAAGGAATGAATGGATAAACGGAAAAAAGACCACCTCCAAATGTTTAAACCTCCAGACTACAATCCAGTTTTCCAAGGTCCAAACACACCCGATAAAATGCTTTTGATAAACTCTAGATCCTGATTAAAGGTGTCAAGTATTTCATCTGTACAGCTACACCAGAAGCAATGGCATAATTATCAGTAAGCAGAGACAGCAGTTGCTTAGGGGGCCCAGTCCTCTTAGGGGCCCCGTCAGTGACACCTGGTTGGCCCCCTACTTAATTATGGACTAAGACGTCTCTTTGAAGATGTAATGGTGTGTAAAATGCATCTTAAACCCACCTGTTACTGGGCTGACTGACTGGACCTTATTTATACCCCAACACATGCCAGATTTCAACATGATGGTGAGCCGCTTAAACACGACACCAATAGCCAAGCAGACAGTGGTACTTTTAATTAATATGTTAATAACTGTGTATAGTTTATTAGTTCAATAAACCTAACAGTTGATCAAAAATACACTCATATAATATGTTTCAAACCACAATAAAGATCTTAAAAGAACAATGTATTTGAGTATTTTATTTTTTACACTACGAGTTGGAATTAAGGGTAATCGAGAGCGTCGATTAAAAACATTGGGTAAAAAACTTCCCAAAATAAAGACGTTCTTTCAAAGAACCAAAGAGGGAGAGGTGGACGTTGCTGCTGCATTCAGTAAAGATTGCAACCAGGAGATGAATGGAGAGAGCGTAGGTGAGGAGAGCTGTGAAACTCAAGGTAGCCCGATAATACTTATTTTACAACAGAATATACTAAAGTATATCCATGTCTAGTGAAGGTGAAGAATGATGAAATGAAGTGCGTATTTATGGGGCACATTTTGGGTCGGTTGTCTATGGCGACCTTTATCACGTGTTATACTTCATTGGGGCCCACCCAGGTGATGTTGCTTACGGGCTTATTGTTGTGTCGTTACGCCATTGACCAGAAGAATAAAACCTGTCTTCTTACCCAGGTCTTCATGACAACCCCTGGCTGTGTGATTGCCAGATATCCATGCTGACATCATTGTCCATGTCTGTGGGGAGTCCAGTGGTTTTGATTGATCAGCTGCTAATGTGCAGCAGGTCTGTTGGCCAGTCCGGGTTGCTTCTAACACAGGATGATCTCTCTCGCTGTATGAGGCCCTCTGTCCAGCCAGCAGCAACCAGGGTTATCTCTCCACTAGGCAGCAATGTTATCCTCCGATGTGATGCAAGTGGGTACCCAACCCCAACGCTAACCTGGATCAAGACCTCTCCTTCCACTGGTAAGAGATGCGGGGCCAATCTGAGGTACTGAAGTGATGCTAGAATAATCTGGATTAAAGCAACAAAGAGTTTATTATTCTCAACAGGTTGTTGTCAGCAAGAGTTCCTGCAGAAACCTGAACAGCTGCCCAGGATTTTGGAGAGCTGTAAGTTGTCACATATTTGAAGCATTAATATTATTTTCATAATTAAGCTTTTACTTTTTTCCTCAGATAAAAAAATTCAGTTTAAACTGTCTACCACTTGTTTCAGTCATACAGGAATCTCCCAGGGTCGGCGTTCGTTGGTCAATAATCAGTCTGAATGGCTTATCTTACAAGGATGCTGGGGAATATCGCTGTCAGGCACGAAACATGGCTGGAATATCTGAAGCTCCAATCAAACTCAGGGTTATGGGAATCACAAGACTGTCTCGTTTCCCAAAAAGGAAATCTCAAAAGACTTTGTCCAAACCATCACCAAAATACAGAAAGCGCCCCCGAACTCCTGACGTCTACAACCTCAAAGAAAAGGAGAGTCCGAACATTACAAATGCCCCAACGATTTTACCGAACAACACCCCGGACATTTAAACTCTTCATTTTCATTCATTTCAAGAAAACAAAGCATATCATTGATGTTCGGTCCATACCAGTGAATGTACCATTACTGTCCGCCATCATCAGTAGCCCTGGTTGTTAACCTGCTTGTTCAAGGTAGGCGCTGCTGTGGTGTTGGTGGTGTTGGAAGGGGGGCTGGTGGAGCAAGAGTGAGGGACCTGGAGGAGGTGCTTGTTCAAATATTCAGGGTAAGTCAGCAGTTCTCTTAAAACTCCCTACTGCTGCTTTGACCTCTGGATTCGAGGGTAAAAAGACTTGTTCCCCTCTCTCAGTTGATTATCTACCATGTGATTTATTTCACCCTGACCAAACCTCAACTGCTTAACCCTTTCCATTTTGGTCTCTCATTTCTTAAAGGTTTGTCTGGGGGGTAGGGTTATGCTTTCACAAGGCCAGAGACAATCTTTAATTATTCTAGCATAAACCCATATCCCACCAAGTCTAAACTCTTTTAACATGCCATACATGTTCTGTAGAAGAAACAGTTGAATGTGATTGCTGTAATAAAAAAAAAAAAAAAACATGTATGTTGTTGATTTGATTAATTTGATTTTTAAAATGTTTTTCATCTCATATATTCACTTTCACAGAGAAAATTAGACTGCATTTGCTGTAGATTGGACTATATCAGGTCATGTGACGTGGTCTTTGCTCAAACAGGTGTCCATGTTTAGGAATCAGGAAGAAATTAGTAAAAGTGTTACGACTTCTACATTCAAGGACTGTATTTCTGAAGCAAGACACCATTTCCAGACTGACTCTGATATTTGTTAAGAGCTTAATTATCTATGAGTCACATCAAAAAAAAGAAAAAAATGATATCAGGCTGGTGTTAGTATAATGCTTAAACCACACCTTTTAAATAAGGACTGAAGCTGAAGACTTAGAAGCTACTTACTGGGGTACATCTTCATGACATGTTCACCTTTTGCCTTCATAGCTGCCATTTAATCTTTTTGGCAATGATTCAAAAGCAGTTGTCATAGATTTTAGCCCATATTCACATTGTGGCATCTTGTAAATGGTGCTATGGTGGCTATGCATTCATTATGTCATTCTGTAACTACTCACTGTAAAACATTATCATGACAAGATTATGTTTTAAAAATGCTCAATTTCTGACAAAAACACGAAACACCTTCAAAGGACCCTTGCACCATATTTGTAGTAGAGGTCTCTGATGCTAATAAGGTAATTTCATGACATCTTTGACTCACTGTCATGTCTTTTTATAAATGTCCACCAAGCCGCTGGTAAATTATATACACATTTAGAAAATTACCAGAAAGCTGCATGCGCAGCAAAACAGTTACATTTCAACCATGACAGTGCAGATTTAAACCACTGCTTGTTTTGCTTAAGGAGTTCCCTTACATCTCTGCCATGCATTTCTATTTTTCTGTAAATGTAGGAAATTGTCAATTGAATGATTTAAACTATCATGCTCCACAAGGCTCAAATTTTGGTCACATTATTTCAAAATACTACCTTAAATCTCTGTTTTTAAATGTAATGAATTATAGGACAAAAATGGTTCGCATAAAAATATTTTTATTAAGCTTTGTGTTCTTTAAGACCTGATTAAAAAAATACACATTTTACAAGAATCTTTACAAGAATATTATTTAAGTCCTATCATAAATAACTTCAATTACTTAATATTATTGTAATCATTTCTTTCAGAAGTTTATTTTGTGTTTTACTCAAAAGGTTTGAGGCACATGCAGAAAAGAACAGAAAATGTTTGGCTAATTCCCCAGTAATGAGCTCAGAATCAAAATTAATGATTGTCTTTGTTTCACTGGGAGTGAATTCCTCACAGACATGGAGACTAAACTAAGATTTTTTACAGAACGCAGCAGACTGGGTTAAAATTCCCACTTTTCAGAAACGTTGCTCTCCAACCATGCTGCAATTTCAGCCTGGTTCCTGTTGGTCCACTCGATGTTGTTCTTTACTGTCTCCAGGGCCTGCTGCCTGGGCATCTCTCCTGCTCCAGCATCTGGAGTCAGTTTGAAGAAATTCTCCATCTGAAGAGCCAGAGTGAGAAAAATTCATTAGAAAAAGGAAAAACGAAAACACAAACAGACCTCGAGAGGAATGAATTCAGAAGCAGTTAAGGCGTACAGAGGTTTTTTTTCCTAACTTTTCAAAAGACCAGAAAAACATGAGGACATGTTCTGACCTGCCACAGCTGCAGCTCGCTGTTGTAGGTGGTTGTGATCCAATAGGGCAGCCGGCCAAGGTTCCTATCATTGATGGTATATCTGTTGAAACACATGAATCATCAGCATCGCCAACAAATGCTTGTTTTTCATGCTCATGAAGATATTATATTTCAACTCTGCATTGATTTGGTTATATTGAATTACAAAATGAATACATGAAAAAAAAAATTATTGCATACAAAAATATTCTGGTGCAAAAATAAATAAACTTTGAAAAATAAATATGTGATGGTGTTTTAAAGATCTGATGCTACAAGCTTGCTCTGGGCTTCAACTTAGACCTTTGAATTGAACAAATGCTGTCATTTGAAATGACAAACCCCAGTTCTTACCTAAAGTAAATGTTTGACAGTTTACAGGAATATCTGCACTTTGTTTCCTTTGAGCAGAAACTTTATATGTAATCCTCCTCATTTTGAGGAGGATTACTCTGTAAAGACCATCATTACACTGTAAAGACTGTCATGCAATAGTCTTTACAGTCTGTTCCATTATCATAGTTTATTATGCCTGAGAATGACTTGGATGTCTACCTCATATACATCAGCTGACTGGACTTGCAAATTAATGTTTAAAAACAGCAAGCTCAACTAAATAAATTATAATTTTATAAATGGTATTTTAAGGTAGTTCTTGCCCGGTTGTACTGACCTGTTGACCAGGAAGTCCCAGTTTAAGGTGGTCCAGTCCCAGGCCATTTTCTGACCCACTGGGTTGTACGACACATACCGCACCACTGTGAACAGGTCCTGACTTCTTATCACACTCTCATTTTTGGTGGCCTCCAGAAGACTGTTGGACAGAGCAAAGTTTCATCTTTACGATTCTTTACAACCTTTTTTTATTATTATTTCAAACTTGACAGGCTAGATTTAAAGATAAAATACAAACAGGAAGGTTTGATACAAAGTTGAAGACCACAGCCCCCTCTATCCATCTGCAAAATGTTCAGGAATATTTACTTTAAAATATCAGTTTAAGGAAACCCTCGTTGGAATCAAGAGCAATTTAAATCTTAACTTTTGTCAAATATGGGGATATTTGTGGCACAGATAGTAAACTGAAACACTCATTCTGACTAAAAATTAGAAAGTAATGAGTTAACGACTGGGTACAGTAAGGGGTCAATAAACTACAGTATATCCAGTCCTGTCCAAGTAGGAGGAAGATAAGTTACAGTTAGAGAGCTTTGGAAACATTCATCTGTCAAAGGGGACACATCAAATGTCTGCCACACTTTCCTACAAAGTTCCTGATTTTGGTATTTGTTGCAGTCATCTTTAGTCCTGAGATGTGAATGCCAATGGGTGTTGCCAATGGGTCTGTAGCATTGAACAATTCAGGCCTTTAATTCAGCTCAAAACCACAGATCCACATTTAATTCTGATTTTAATGAGCTAACCAAGTTGCAAAATGTAAACCAGGCTTTAATATTAGAAAAGTAGCCGTTAACATTCTCCATAGGTGTCTGATAGGTTATTAGAACTGTACTTCTCCATAGGTCAGTCGGAAAGAAGAGCCTGGGTTTAGGGGTTGCCAGGAGTTGTTTTTCAGAAACCCATCAATTCAGCTGAAAGGAACTCTGAATCAACAACTGATTTTTACACCATTCCATGATTCCAACTTGGCTTTAGAGATGACCCCCTCCTCTTCCAACATGACTGCATATCAGAGCGCAAAGCAAGGCCCATAGCAACATGGATGAAGGAGTTTGGTGTGGATGAGTTTAACTGGCTGTCACAAAGTCATAACTCAACCCACTAGAAAACATTTGGGATAAATTAGAGAGGGTGAGTTAGAGCCAGGCATTCTCTTCAAACCTTAGCTTATGATCTTATGAAAGCAAGTCTGAAAAACGATATAAGATTTCCATAAATAAATATGTGGACAGCCTTCCCCGAAGATTTAAAGCCGAGGGGTGAACCAGTGTCACATTAAATATAAAGTAAGAATGGGATATTACTTAAAATTATATGTGATTCAAGGCAGGTGAGCAATATAGTATATTTTCCTACAGTTTCTTTCTTTTTGTTTTGTTTTGTTTTGATATTATTCAGAAAAAAGATTAGAACTTTTCAGATATTTCACAATTATGTTACATTAATACTACAAAGCCTGCTTTGCTGCAGAAATTCTATTATTTGAGCCTCAATTGCGTAAAATATATGTATTTTTTTTTCGTACAAAAACATTTACAGGAAGCACTGATTTTAAAAATTGAAGGGGCTAGATGGAGATGGCCTAATGCTGATATTCAGGGGATCAAACCTTCACACTGACTTGTTCAAAAGCTCCACATTGTCCACCGATGCCAGTCCGTACAGAAGCTTGTCCTTCTCCTGAGCCAGAGTCGAGCTTTTGTACCTTCGGAACATCTCGTTCCACTTCTCTGGAGTCCCTGAATTCTTCATGCCATAGCGGTACACCAGTAGCCTCAGGTTGACGGGAATGCTGCTGCAGATTAAAAATGAAAAATAACAGAAAATATGTTAGAATTGAAGTTTAAGATTTTGTTTGAAGGTTCAGTGTTTTTGTAGGTTTAAACACATTAAAAAAGCTAACCTGAGAGTCTTATCAATCCACTGGTCAAATAGATTGGATGCTTGGTCCAAAGAATCCTTGTCTCCCACACCACATGCAATGCTGAGGACAGTTTCCCTTAGCAACCTGCACAATAAAGCAGTCACTGTCAATATATGTTCAGTACAAATTTTAAAAGTAACCATTTAGTATGAGTATACACTGTCTCTTATGTACCTTTCTGTTTGTGTACCCTCATCAACCCAGCCAAGCTTTGTCACAATTGGTTTAACCAGGCCACTAAAGAGTTTCTACGAAAAAAAAAAAAAAACTTAAATAAGTGAAAGAAGCAGGAAAAAGTTTTTAAACTTAAGCCTAAACAGATACATAAACTTGCCACTCAAAATACTTTTTTTGTATTTTTGGTTAATCGTTTGGGAGCTAATAAATTATTTCACAGTGAAATTTGGGTTTTTAATTATTATTGCATATGTTATGACTCTAAATGTAGTATTTTTGGCTGCTTGTCAAAAATCTTTGATAGCACTGATAAAACTACAAGATTTTTGAGAAAGCAAAAGCTAAATAAATGAACGCGAATCAGAGAGACACCTGAGAGACGTCTTTTACATATTCAAAATGTAAATGATATAATTATATCCCCAGTTTTGCATCTGTATTAATCATAAATTATTTTGTCTGCATTTCTTCAGCTTATGATAGTTTTATTGTTTCCCTGGTATTTGTAACTTTCTTATTTCAGTTTTTTTTAGGACAAATAAAAGCCTTTATGATATAACAAGTTTCCCTTTTATTTCTTTATTTTGTGTTTTTCTTTTATTTTTATTTATTATTTTCTCATGTTTAATCTCATTTGCAGAAAAATATCTTTACTTTGTTTTATATTTCCTACCAGATAAATGTAAGTACTGGTTGATAGGATATGGGATGTTTGAGATAGACTAAAAAAGAGATTTGTAGTTCATATGCACCATCAAAAGTATAATTTTTCTATTTCATTCAGATATTTAGCTGGATTCCAGATAAATGTCTTGATGATGTGAATATTCAAATACTCACCTGAAACTTTGGGTACAGGTCCTTGTTGTTGGCCATCATGTCCCGAACGTAGGCGATTGATGATGAGACACGTTTCCACACAATGTACTCAGTCTCAGCTTCCAGGTATTTAGTGAGATTGAAGGCATTACCGTAATCTATAATATCAGCCCTTAAAAACAAACCAAAATTATAGCATTTAGATTTGTTTGTCTTAGTACTGTTGAGTCTTTTCTCCGTTTTCCTTGTTTTTCCAACCTTGCCAGGGCAAAAACATCATCGATGAAGCTTGCTCGGTCAGCTGCATCAAACTCCTGGTTAGGGAATAAAACCATTTGATTTGTGTAAGTGAATATAACCTTTAATTTGAAAAGATAAAGTTGAGATCTAGGGAGGTGAGATACCGTGTGGTTTGTCATGAGCAGCTGGCTGATAGAGGTCCACATATGGTCTTCATGGTTGACTCTGTAGAATCCAATGTGGTCGTTATTTATCTTTAGCAGTCCATCTTCACAGGCCGAATAATTATTGATGACGTGTTCTGAAAAAGAAAACATTTACATTGATACGTTTCTGAGCTTAAAAAACAGAAAAAGAAAAAAAAAAACATCTACATATTTTTATCTGGAATTTTTTAATTTGGGTTAATTTAAGTTTTTTTTTTTTTTTTGATTTACTGAAAGTAAAAAATTAAACTATAAACTAACAACTGGAAGTCCATTTGATCCATTAGGCTTAAATGGTAGCAAAGTTCCTTTCATATTGTAATAAACTACTACATCCCAAAAAGACGTAAAGCACTTTGACACACTGAGATGTTTCTCCATAAAAGTTTGCTTTTAGGGTCACCATCCTGATGGAAGTTGGATCGGCTGATCTCTGCAAGAGTTCATTCATGCAGCATCCAACATGTCCTTCAATCCTGATGCTTTTCTAAACTTCTCATTTTGGTGTTAAATGTCCTATGATACATTTCTCATGACCACAGTTGAGAGTTAGAGGATCGATGGGCCAATAAATCCAAGTCTTTTCCTTTTGGTTCAGTACTTTTTTTCAGTGCTTTCAGATGAAACCGACCTACGGTCCCACCATCACTTAGAAGCAAACCTTGAAACCAGAACTCCTCAGCTTAAGAGTGCATTCCATGTATAGTCATTGTAAAATTTATAAACCATAGTGTTCTATAATCGTAAATTGAATTATATGAGATGAGATCAAGAAGGTTTCAGGTGGAGGACGGAAATCTAGACATCGTTCTCTTTACCAACACTCCCTGGACCACAATGAATATCTCATCAGAGAGTGTTTGGTGTCCTCCCACTCAGGACACTTATAAAATACATAAAAGGCATATAGACTTTTGCTGTTTTTTTCCAAAAGTATATCTCTACAGAGTGGGCTCTGAGTGCGCTCTTCGGTTGATTGGATCCAGGATCTCCTTTCCTTTGTTGATAGCAATCTCATAAGCAAATATGCAGGTTAGGACATAGATGAAGCCATAAATCCAGACCTTTACCTTTAACACTCAGCTTCCTTTTAACCACAACACAAGTCCCATAGGCAGATGCAGCTTTGAACCTTTTTTTGTCCTTTTCCCATTAAGAAACAGAGAAATCTGTAAGGGTTTAACTTTGTAGAAAAAATATAAAATCTGTAAAATATAAAGTAGATTTACAGACTACAAAGCACCCTGCAGTCATCATTTCATACATTTTGATTATTAATATGATTCTTTTATAATATAAGGAGTTATTTGACAGAATGTGTTTCTAGAGCTCCTATGAAAATCCATTTATCAGCATCACATGGAGCATTTAAAATGACATATATTCTGGGGGTTTTTTGTCGAAAAACACTATATTACACTACACTGTCATTTGTCACTCTCAGTGAAAAAGCTGCACGAAGAGACAGTTCATGATTTTGAGCTTTAAGGTGAACCTTTCTAACAGTTTCAGGAAGTACCTGGAGTGCTCTTGTTAAACATTGTCTCCACTATCTTGTCACTTTTCACAGAGAACCATTTGACTGGAATCGTCCACTTGTATCTGAAACCAAAACACGTTCATGGTAAATAATAATGGTAATTATGACATTTTGTATGTTTTCAACTGTAAGGATCCAAGTGGTACACGCACTGAAAAGGTGATGCGGGCTGGCTGGGGTCAGCCAAGGGGTCCAGGAGGAAACGCTTCTGGGTCAGTTTGGTGTTTGTCTCTGAAACGGTGAGATCTACGACAGGGTAGCCCATCTGTTTGGTCCATGTGTCCATAACGTCTGCAACGGGTAAGTTGCTTACCTGAACACAGAGAGCAGCTTCCGCTTAGATAGTTAATTATTTGACTTTAAAATGAGGCCTTTAAATAGTTTTAACTTTGTGTAACAGTGACATATTGTGCATGATCTTATCAGTCCTGAAAATGCTGCTCAACACATTATATGTGCTGCTGGATTGAGTTGTAATGTCCTGTGGTATCAAGTGCTGCATTATGTCTTATATGTAGATACTTTGCATAAAGCTGCCCTGGTTCTGTCATGAGAACAACTTTCAAACGTACATCGGCCATAGATGTCCAGAAGTTGGCTGTTTTGGCGTTTTTGAAATAGAAGTCCTTTAAATATTTCTGTTGAAAGACAAAAGGAGAAAAGAGACAATTGTAAGTGTAGTTGTGCATTTCTGATGTCTATTCAGATGGTTACTGGAGATGGCTCACTCACCCGGCAGCCATCTCTGAATACATCCCTTCCTATCCAGTCCTCCAGCATGCGGAGAATAGAAGCTCCCTGTAATTAGGGTTAACAGTCGGGTTAATAAACATATTTTATTTTTGGATATAACACTATATCTTTTTAAATATGGATAGAACAGGGATCAATCCAGGGTTGAAAATATTCAGATATCTGGAATCAATACTAAGAGGAGAGATACATTTTTTTTCAAAGTCTTGCGGATCTGTTGATATTTTAGACTATGGTAGCCTGAAAACTACGGAAATTATAATATTTTTATGTTTTAAGAAAAAAAAAATTGTGAGAAGGAACAATTTTTAAACATGAATACAGAGATTATTTCTGTTTATTTAAATCCCCCACCTTCTGTCTTATCACAACCCCATTTATTTAGTAGAAGGGAAATAATATTGCAGAAAATCTGAAAAGTGTGGCAAAGCTAATTAGACTTTTTTTTTTATTATTTATTGACCCGAAGCTTTCACCTTGCTGTAGGAGATGGCATCAAAGACAGAGGTGATTTCTGCAGGGCTCGATACATCTACGATGATTGGATGAGAGGAAAGGAGGGCGTCGTCCACCATGACAGGAAGCACGTCGTCAGTGATCATGATGTCTCTCTGCGAAAGGAGACTTCTTAGGACGAAATCCAACAGGATCAAGAATTCTGTGGAGACCTGATAAACTCACCATGCCCCAGGTCGGCTCGGCCTTCTCCACACCAATGTACTCGAAGAAACTTGCAAAGCCCTCATTGAGCCAGAGGTCATCCCACCAATCCATGGTGACAATGTTTCCAAACCACTGCAAGACAAAATTGGCATGAGGGTCTGTTCATATTCATCATTAATCTGATTCAAACTAAGATTTGTTATATCTGGTTATTAAAATGATAATTATTCCTAATGAAAAATGACAACAAACAAGAAAGACAAGTGATTCTGGATGCTGCAGATCGTCGTGCTCAAAATTGATACAGAAACTGAACCTGCAATCTGTTTCAGGTTTTATAGATTGCATGGCAGGTGGTAAGTAATTATCCCTATGACCAGCATATGTTCTGCATATGCATTAAGGCAAACAGTTTTTGCACCTGCTTTTCCACTAATTTTAGGGCTTAAACCCCATGTGAAGCTTCAGTAGATTAGCTTTGCATGACGCATGCAAACCTTTAGAAGATTGGAGGCTTTGTGCTCACTTTACAGTCATGCACGGTCAGGTTCCAGCCTATATTTCAGGCCTAGAGCCTGACATCTCCTCCCTCAGGAGGAATCCAGTTAAAATGGTTCCTCAGACATGTTTCAAATGCCCAGGGAATAATTCCACTACAGCTGTGTTTCCCAAATAATGGGGGATCTCTTGATCTCTAGACTATTTTTTTTACTAGTTTAAGCTGTATTGTGTTATAAATATGCTATTTCATATTTTCTTTTATGTTTTATCTTCCTTGTTTTTTTATGCTCATATTAATGCAAATCAATTTGTGGTTTTTGACCTATAAATGCAGCTCACAGTAACTACTTACCAGTCATTATCTAAGAAATATTCAAATGTATGATTAAATGTATGAAAAGAAAAATGTGTTCTTTTATTACTTTAACTGACAGAATAATTACAACAAACATAATTTTTTTTATTTATGTTTTTTATTTATTTATTGTCTTGTTTTTGTATCTACTAATTATTATTCATCTAAATTTCAAGTTTTATCTACCCATTGATTAAATCTTTTATTTCAATTATTTCAGATTTCTAATTGCCGTTACATATCGATTTTGTAAACCTATTTCCTTTTTCTATTTAGATCACTGTTAATATTGACATTAAAAGTTTGTTGTAAATTTAACCAGAACAGTTTATGGAACTGTATACTTATAAGCATCTGCAAATGTAATCTGTTTGTTTGTTTGTTTTAGACAACTAATATATAATGCTTGCTCCTAATTTATTGTATATGATTATATGATTCAAATTTGATTAAAGCTCAATTTTTTTCATTTATCCTGGCATTTTTTCCCCGAATCAAATCATATTGATGTTTAATGTGGCATGGTTTACTTTGTAAAACAATTTGGAAAAGGTATCTATATTCGTGTTTATCTTTACTTCATGTTCTACGTTTAGCCCTAAATTTAATACATTTATGTATTTGTTTTAAAGTGGTATATTTGTAATAATGCTTACACTTAAATATCTAACAAATAATATTATTACATTTCAATTGAGTCACAGTTGCAAATCCACCCATCCATGGATCAGTTGAAGAGAAGATTCTAGCTGCTAAAAAACTACAGTTAAATCTAACTCCTTTTATTTAGGAAAACTTTTAGTTTTAAATCTGCATTGTGATGAGAAAATTAGTTATTGTGTTGTGTTGTTTTTTTTTAACACCAGGAATCTGCTTCGCCATGTATTCGTGTGCCCACGATTATTTTTTGCACTCAAAAGGTTTAAGGTTCACTACACAGTTAACTTGGATCAGCTTTACCACAAATTCATAAGCAACCAGGAACGATCTGTTTCAGGTCATAAAAATTTAAAGACAGTCAGCATTCTTCTTATCTTTGACATGTGGAAAACAAATGGTCATTATGCTTAATAAAAATCTTAAATGAAACAACTTTTAATGATTGACAGGAAAAATCTGTAATCTGGTTTCCTTGCAATAAAGATAAAAAGACATTTACTTATAAACTAACTTATCTATCATCTGAGGCTTAAAAGTTCAAACTTGAACTTTCAACAAGAAGCAAAAGAAATAAAATGAACTTAAATCTCTTTATCCATAAAATGTTCAATACCATCAAAATCTAAGTCCTTTTAACACCAAAAAGATCTCAAAAAATGTCTCTAAAACTAATCTAACTATAGAAGGTAAAGATTATATATTCTGTTACCTGGTGAACCAGTTCATGGGCGATAACGCTCGCCACACGCTGCTTGTTGCTGGAGGAAGACTCTTTCTCGTCGTACAGCAGGTTGGTCTCCCTGTAGGTAATGAGCCCCCAGTTCTCCATAGCACCAGTACCGAAGTCGGGGATTGCGATCTTATCTGAACAGAACAGCACAGAAAAACCTCTGAGGTGACTCTATATAGTGTGTTTTATTTCTTTGCTGCTTAATAAATTTGCACATTTAAGTATTAACAAGCTCTTCCTTGGAGACACTTTTTTCTCTTAATAGATCGAAACCAAATAAGTAGCAAATACAAAGAGGGAAGGGGGTGGTCTACCCCCTTTGTGGCCCTTTGTTGTTGAAAAGTGCATATTAAGGTGCCCTCTTGGTGGCCAAAACACGTGCCAAACTGCTCCCTTGGGAATAATAACACGTGCTAAAGTGCGTCCTTAGAAGCCAAAATAAGTGCTAAAATGCCCTCTTGGGAGCCAAAGCACGTGCTAAACTCCTCCCTTGGGGGCATAAGATGGCTAAAGTGCCCCCTTGGGAGCCAAAACATATGACAAAGTGTCCCCTTGAGAGCCAAAATAAGTGCTAAAATGGCCTCTTGGGAGCTAAAAACATGTGCTAATCTGCCCTTAAATGTCCTCTCAGAAGTCAAAGCATGTGCGAAACTGCTCCATTGGGGTCTATAACTTATGCTAAGATGCCCCCTTTGGAGCTAAAATGTGTTAAAGTGTCCTCTCGGGAGCCAAAACAGGTGCTTAAGTACTCCTACAGTTGTGAGCAATATGTCCCCTTTATTTTTCTTTCAGCACCTGCCCTTTTGAAAGGCCTTTGTATGCCACTGGAAGAGATAATGTATTGCATAAAACTTATGTCAGGAGATAAAAGATTATCCTCTTTTTATGATGGAAACAAACAATTTATACATAACATGACCGATAAATAGTAAAGCCTTAAATTAGGACATAAATAATAGTTCGGGTAACTTAGTGCTCATCATCTTAGATATGTAATACCTAAGATGTTTGGAGAATCTGAGGGGTTTTTAAGGTAAATATAAATCAGAACATTCAAGGAAATATTTAATGGAATTGGATTTAAACCTTACTGTAGTATAATTGAAAGGAGATAAAACTGAATTACATTTAGTAAAATCATTAATGGGAAATATATTTTTTTCTTAGGTTAGATAAAACTGAATTTAAGTTATCCAGTGAAAATTATAATATATTATATGTTATTGTATTTAATTACATTATTAAATCTGGGCAGATTATGCTGCAATTAAGAGTTTCTCATTATTAGTGGACTGAAGTGGACTTTTTGATGACTTTTTGGTGTTGGTTTTGAAGCATACCCAGTTTGGAGATGGAATATGACATGTTGAAATATTCCTCAAAGTAGTCAAATATTATCTTTGTTGTGTCTGCTGCATATTCTGCAGTCGCTAATTGGCTCGGCTGGGCATAGATCCTCAACTGCAACAGAAAACATCCCAATAATTACTGAAAGTACATAAAAAAACACTTGTTATAGATTCAGTATAAAAAATAATTCTAACATTTGAATCAGATTTAAGAAAACTTACAGGAATGTTACTGGCAGATTTTCTTTCCACGAAACCAAACTGGTGGACGGCAAAACAAACGAGGTAGGTGCTCATTGGAATGGATTTCTGGAAGGTTGTTTTTAGTTTATTGCCGGGCAGTACCTCGGAAGGACCCTGGAAAGTCAAAGCAAATGCTAAATGTTTAATCTAATCAGTTGTTGATCATGTTGATTTAATTTTTATTTTTGTACTGATGGTAAATTCCTCAGAAAAAAAAGGAAAAACATGCATTCCACCTTTAGTATTCAGAGCACCAAACCTTGCTCTGACTAAACAATGGAGACATTTGTGTGTTTGTTCTCCCTAAACCAAAGTAAACAATAAACTCTTTGTAGTTTTGGATTTAAATATAAAATCAAAACTACTGTTCATGACTTGACTAGAAGTTTGATCTTTGGTTAGTGCTTAATGGATTTAATGCAGCTTTAATGAGGTAAATATGTGCTTTGCTTTTCCAAAGTCCCATATTTCCTGGACTGTGATTAGGATACACATTACAGACCAGCCCATAAAGCAGTCGTAGAGCCAATAAGAGACCAATTATGGGCCTCCTCCACTCTGTTTTCAAGCTCATCCCAAACTGGTTGACTCATATATACTATAACTGAGGGGAAAAGGACTAACAGTGAATTATTTACCTAAAGGACATGACGTCCAAGAAATGTTTCATTTTTTACGATGTTAATGTTTCTGATGAAACTTAGTATTTCTTAAATAATGCTAGAAAGAATCTATTTTTGGTTTTCAGAGTCTGTCCCACCCACAGCACCACACTTTTATTAATGTCAAACATTACTGCTTTCCTTCCTACCTCTGGTGGCATGTTGGAAAGAGCACCATATTTATCGTCATGGGTGATGGAGACTTTATAGGTGGCTTTCTTGTTTGGTTCGTCAAAGCAGGGGAATGACTTCCGAGCATCTGTTGGCTCGTGATCAGTTGCAGCAATCTTCCTGGTAAAAAAAAGAAAGAGAGGTTTATATCTCCCAATGGCGCTCTATTACCGGTATATGCCAAATTAACTTGTTATTTCTTAAGTCCTTTTTTCCGTTTTTACCCTCTATATAACAAACTTCATAGCACAGGTTTAGGAGATAAAATGATCAGCAGCCTAACCAGTATTCTAGATCTGGATGGAATATATAAAATATATAATATATAAAAACATTTGGAAGAGCTTTAGAAAGCTTGGAGATGTATTGATAGAGACCCCTATAAAAGATTAGAGATTATCACACTTTGTTATTATAGAAGTCATTTAATGAGGCCTGTCTTGTGACAGAAAAGGTTTCTGTTGTTACAGGAGGCAGAAATGTTGTCTCTTACTTGGTCACTCCGTTCTCTGTGTAGATGACCCTATAGAATCCCACCACAGATCCGTTCAGCCAGCCCTGGAAGTCCAGACTGAGAATGTACACCTCTCCTTGGCGTGTGGCGGGTAGGTCCTCTGTGGCCTCCACCACCACATACTCCTCAGGTTTGTATTCAAAGCAGCGGTTGACCTTCACCTCCCTCTGTGTCCCCTGGCTGTCCTCCATCCTTAGCCTGGGCATGGCGCTCACAAAAGTCTCCCTGATGTGCAGCCATAAGTGACGGGTGGGTTTAGTGACCTCCACTTGAATATCCACCGTGCCTGTGTAGGTGTCGTCGACCATGTTTGGTTCCAGGTGAAGGTCATAGTGGGTCGGTTTCACGTAGTCGGGCAGACGGAAATTCGTCCAGTCTCCACTGGTTTCTGTTGAAGGCTTACAGGGCCCTCTGTCAGACGGAGGGGGCGGTGTAGGTCCAGCTGTGGGGGCTGCTGTGGGGGCTGCTGTGGAGTCTGTTGTGGAGGAGGTGGATTTGGAGAGGCCAACCCCCAAACCCACAGCCAAGGAGCAAATCACCACAACTGCACAGATGATGGCTGCATGTTTGCCTCGAATGCAGTAACGCTTATCCTTGTCCGATTCCAGGATGAAGCTGTCAGGCATGCTGACTCTGAAAAGCGCAAACTTTTGAAGGTAAACTGCTGTAAAGGAGACCTGGAATCAGAGCTTCTGCTGTGTTTGCTCTAGCTGTGCAACAGCTGAACCAGAGCCTGTCCCTGTGGTGCTGAGGGGAGGAGAGATGAAAGAGGAGGAGAAGTAAAAAGAGGCTCTCTTACAGTCAGTCAGAGATTTATTCAGCCCTACATGATGTTAACACGCCTCTTTTTGTTAAATATCGACAATCTGCCTGTAAATCAGCAACTAAGGCTGAACATTCTCTGCTGTTGGACAATAGAAGCACAAAGAAGTAGAATTTGAAGTTTGAGACAGCATCATTGGGGGACAGGAAATTTCAATCTGCCCACCTTGTTTTTGGGACACGAGTGCAGGCTGTTGCATGTTCTTTGTGGTCAATATAATAGGCAGCTGCAGAAAAGGGTGAACCCCAGAGCAAAACAGTGACTGGACTGCTGAGTGGAATCAGCTTTTCAGAAATAATCAGCTTTTCCATGTTTTTGTGACCAAAGGATCTGATTATAATAATTGCGCGCTAGAATTCCCAAAACTAAACAAAAAAAAAAAAACAGATCCGTATCAGTTCTGATGGATTTATATAGAAAAAAGCTGAGTCACTGTTTACTACAGTGAATCTCCTTTTTTCTGAGGAGCTGTGGGGAGAGTAAGTCCTCTGACCTAACATGGATTTGAATGGTGGCTTTCTCTGCGCTTTGTTTGTTGTGGATTATCCCTTTGTAAGTTCAGAAAAAAAAACAACGAAGTAGTTTAGTTCAGAATCTTTCTGAAAGTAAACTGTGAAAACGAAATCATTTAATTTATACCTGTTTGAATAAATCATAGAACCGTTTTTGTCAACAGTTAGGTTTCACAGCATTGCTTAATTAGCAGCAATAGTTGTGCTTCCATGCTTTTGTATTAACATTCATAATTACAGGCTGCTAATCTCCAATGTATACGTCTGACATACTAAAAACTGGTAAATTTTGGCCAGGTTTTGAAATAATTCTGATATTATTCTAGAATATATCTGACTAATATTGATGCAGGGACACTAAACAGAGACCCTGACTTACTAAAAAAAAATCTACTTTTACCACTATCAAACCACCGTGGCCATAAGTTAGACAGTATAGACCTAATACCTAATACCCTTCTACACATAAATTCTGGTTTTACCGTAATTGTTGCTAAGAGTTATAAATGGCAATAAGACTTACATTGTAGGGGGAGTCATCTTTGCCAACTCTTTTTTTGCATTTATATTCTAATTAAGTTCAACCTAAAGGTGTTCTAAGATGAATGGGCTTTTTAAGGGCATGCTTAAACATTTTGACCAAGCCTCTTTAAAATGGCATTTTTCTTTTATTTATGTGCCACTCAGAGGAGGTGCTTCTGTTGTTCTTTGGATTATTGTGGTGTTGCACTGGTGTCTTATCAGGGTAATGACATGTCTAACTTAGGACAGTTAGGTTAAAAAAAAAACACACATACACATTATCATCTTTTTAGATGTAGTGATGATGATGTGTTGACACCCATTGTACTTGAATTATAACCCTTTCTATACCCTAAGTGGCAATAACCTTAAACCCAACCATTAGCAGTGCATACCTAACCCTAACCCTAGCCTGAACTCAATTCACCTTTGCTCTAAAACTAACCGAAAGCAGCAAAAGAAGGAAAGTGAAGACCAATAAAATGTGCACTCTTTGCTTCAAACTTTACTCAGTTTGATGGTAAAATTGGAGAAATGGTCCTCACTTTGATACCAAAACAGGAGCATCCCAACAACACGCAGAAACACCAAAAAAATTAGCGGTAGCTCACCTGATAAGATGAAAAGATTTAGTTTCAGAAGATAAGCTTTCCTTTCTAAACTGCTACTAAAGAATATCCTGATCAGACGTGATATAAACTCAGGTGGCAGAAAGGCAAGAGGTTTCTGCACTGAAGTGGATTTTCATGGATGAAAAGAGATCTGACGTTCTTCCAAATCTTCACATATCTGAGTTTATTACATCTGGGGTCACACTGTTTTCTTCATATCTGTACTCTTGTTTGATCATAAACGTCACTTTTCCGTTTTACAGTCATATCTGACCCTGAGCATCGTAAACCTTTATTGCTTTTGCACTTTCATGACGATAAGAGGAGTGAGATAGGATGAATGTTATGGTGTCCTGATCCTTGACCTGAAGAGCGCACATTGCGGTCCACACATTCATTATGGCAGTTAATCTCCATGTTAAAGGGGTGGAATCATGTAGAAAACGTGAACTAAACACAATAATCACATGTTGCCCCATCAGAAGAGGTGTAGTTGAGGTAATCACTTACTTAAATGGTCCCAAAGGTAAATAACCAATGAGAGACCATCTCCATGGTAAACTGTAATTACTTTCCCACATTCTGTAAGATGTTGTTGTGCAACTGAGATCGTCACCAACTTACCTCTTCTTAAGTTCACATCCTTTGGAAAACATGCTGAGCTGAAAGCTGTGGGTATAAAATCAAGTATAAATAATATCTTGCTGTGAAAAATCAAATGTTCCACAATTAACAAATGAGAATAGTGGCTATCCTGGATCCCATTAGAAATTATAGCCAAAATATATATTTATAACTCATTTTCTTACTTGTTTTCATTTTCACTGAAAGTTTTAATGAGGGGAATTAGCTCAAATGGTAGAGCACTCGCTGAGTGAGAGGTAGTGGGATTGATGCCTGCATTCTCCAAGCAGTTACATGAAAAGTTTTCAAAGGCCTGATTAACTAAGGATAAAAGGAAGCAGCATGCAGAAACACTGTAAGATGCAAAGTGAATGCTCGAAAATGTCGTTGACATCCTTCTGTACCTACAGCACTATTAGAGGGGAGTGGTTGCCTAGTGGTTAGGGCATAGAGCTTGGAATCGTGAGGTTCTGAGTTTGAACGCCATTCCCACAGTCTGCCACTCTGGCTCCCTGAGCAAAGACCCTTAACCTCCAATTGCTCCCCGGGCACCCCACATTGGCAGCCCACTGCTCTCCAAAGGGGGTGGGTTACATGTAGAGAGTTCATTACGTTGCTTTTGACAGTGTAATGACAACAAAAAAGCTGGGGAAAAAATAATAATAATGGACAATAATTGAACTATTTCCCGACAGCTGTATGATGGTTAACACCTTTTTCAATCTTGCAGAGTCAATAGGTGAATTATTTATTATACGATATTTACTCCATACTCTTTTTCCACACTGAAACTATGTAAATTACTACAACTACAAAAATTAAGAAAAAAAAAAAAACACCAACAGCACCACCGAGAGCAAATGTATTTTCATTATTTTAATATCCCTAAATATACTAATTAACTGCAATTCAATACCAACACCACAAGTTGGGTTTATGTTGATAATAATTTAGTTATTATATCTAATCATGAAATTATTTTACTTCACCCATGCATCCTCTATTTTCTATGTATTATTAAAGCATACATGATGAATAAACTTAGATTGTAAAAGCCTAACTGGGGACAGACATTGAGAATTAGCCTTAGCTAAAATGTTGTAGTGTGTGACATGATGCATGAAACATACTTGTCCCTATCAAATAAACGAATAAATAAATAAATAAATTTGATTTTTCTCTATTAGGTGTCATGATGTGTTGAATAGTGAATTTGAAACAAATATGGCAAATAAAAAAATAGTAGGAAAAGAAATTTGAAAAATTGGGGAAAATGGTATAGAAAATGTGGGGAACAAAATAATAAATAAAACAGCAGAAAAGTGCAGCTTAAATAAACTAGAATATTGGAATTTGTTTGAATTAGGAACTAGAAATGTTTGTCATACAGACCAACTTCTGACTCAGTCAACAGTTTTTTTCTGGCTGAAGAAAATACAGTGATTGAGCTCCCACTGTTGGGTCCTGACGCATGAGCAAACCACTGCTTTATCCCGCAGAGGTGTTCATTTATCGCACTGCAGAAGTTGTAATTGTTTACCCGAGTGTTGACATTATTTCAGCATAAGAAGGCTTAGTTAAATAAATACACCATGACATTCAGCAGACACTGTACAGGTAAGAACAGATTATTAAATACACCTTGGAAGCATTTTAATGTTTGGTGCCTGTTCTTTAGCTGTTTTATACATTATCATATTCAGGCCATTAGAGGGCAGTGTCAGCTAATAAAATTAAGCAGAGTGCAGCTATATGGAATTCCAAAAGTGCCAGAATTCCAAAAATGAATCAGTAGCTCATTACTTTGTCCTTAGTTAATGAAAAGGGAAATACTGTAATGTAGTAAAAATGTTAAAACTGTTTTTTTTTTTTTTTTTTTTTTTTTTTTTACATTTTATTCAAATATTTCATGTATTTCACTACTGTTTTATTTTATATTTGCATCCTTGAATACATTCTTGCACTTAATATATCAGCTTAATTATATATGGTTTTAATATTTTGAGGAATTTTGTATATAAATACTTATCCTTTTAATAAATTACAGGTATATTTTTCTTTACAGTTATTCACCAATTTATTAATGAAATACATTTAACTTCAAATTTTTTTTGGTTCAACCTACATTGAAGAAAATATCTATCTATTTTTAAATTTGCATTTTGGATCTTCAAGTTATGTTTAAAAAAAAAAAAAACAGAAAAGAAAAAAACATTTTAAACCCGGTCATAGAATGTCACGGTTCAAACCACCACTGAAGCAGCACACATTTACAAAAGGAAAATATCTTTAAAATCCATCTAAAAGTATTTTAATTTTTTTTATTGCTTTCAGAAATAACAGGTTTGCTAAAATATATCAGAAGCTACATAAGATTTAAATTTTTCCTTCAGTTCATGCAGAAAAATGTGCTCTCACAACAGTTTGTTTTCAGTTTTTTTACTTATAAACAAATGTTTACCTCAGGCTAATAAACTTCAATCAAACTGGTAAATATTTTTAAACAAAAAAGTCACTGAAACACTGAAGATGCTTGACAACCAGATTTTAAATCTAACGGAACGCCATTTATTCAACCGAAATATATGCTATAAAATCCACAGTAAGGCAGCGCATCTACTCCTGACATGAAGGCAACACATAGTGCGCACAGTTCCTCACCGGCAGGATACATTAAAAAACAAATGATCCTATGATTTCTTATCTAAATGAAGAGGATCTTCTATCAGCACAGGCTGGATGTAAAGCATCTGTATCTGAGGTTGCACAGGAATCTGGTTCAAGGATCAGGATGAAGGTTCTGAAGCAAATCCAGGTGGTTTGGGGACATCTTGAATCAGGAGGCCTTTCGGTTGTCTTGGCGATGCTTGTCAACTTTACACCCTAAGTGCGTTCAATGTAGATTTCCCTTAAAATTGCAAACATTGTAAAACACTGAAAAACATCGTATCTCAGCTGTTTCTAAGCAACAGTCCCAGAAAGAGTTTTGTTTTTTATAGCAAATACCCTTTCCGGTTTCTCAGATGTAGCAGATGACTTCAAATAATTTGGTATGTAGACGATAACCTTCATCCATTTCTGTTTAATACAGCATGAAAATGTCAAACATTGTGCCAAGACGGCTAGAAAAGCAGCAGCAGGGCTGACAAAGTTCATGACGTTTGCAGATGATGTGATTCTGTTTTTGTCTTTTAACCATGGCACTTGTACACTTGAGACTTGAAGGGGGAATGCTCGTTTTGCATCTGGTTTGAGTCGTCTTTAATCGAGTACGCTAACTGGCCCTCTTTTTTAGCTACACCTTGAATTAGTGCATTAAAAGTAGTTCCTTTTGACAAAAGGCCATATTTAGGAGTGGATCATGTAAATACTGAATATACAGTATATACAATAAAACAACAACTTTCTATTATCTCCAACCTGTTTGCTGGATATATTGTCATGTTTGGAACATTTTCAGTAAACGTTATAGATATCTAAGCAAGTAAATCACAGTAGATCAACAGCAAACAGAATCATGCTAAGTTCAAAGACAAGAAATTCCCTTTCTTTCACTCTCCAAAGCTCAGGTTTAAGCAAGTCTTTTCCACCATATCAAGACGCATAAATGCTTGAAGTTGCAACCATATAATGAATTTCTTTCTGTGTTAAAAGGCAACTGACCAGTGAAGTGTTGCTGCTAATTGATGGCAGGATAGAGCAGGAGATATGTGGGTGAATAAGAGCTTTATGAGTTATCAATAAATCGCTCCATTATGTTTTAGTGCGGGAAGAGCAGAAAGGAGAAACTTAAGATTTTATGGCCCATTTACATCCAACCCCCAGCTACGGTAATGAGATATGGGTAAAGATAAAAAAAAAAAAAAATGACATCCTCCAAGCAACTGGCTGAAATAAACGATCTGTCGGGTTTCCAGGCGAAGGACAGGAGGACATTTTTTTGCAAAAATAAAACTCAGGGTTGCAGAGCAGTATGCCTCCTGGACGACTTAGTTGAAGAAGGGTGGGGGGGGGGGGGGGCTAATGCACACCATAAACTCTGTGGAGAGACTTTATATCCATTCAAGCCTGAGAAAAACTTGGTATCCTTGTGTCACTGAAGATAAGGATGTTATGGACCAGATGTGGAAGACTTTGGATGGATTACAGTCTGCTGCATAGAACTGAAAATGTTCCTTTAAAACTGTACTTACAGTTTAATTCCACATGGTGGCATCAGTGAGCAGTTTCAGCATCATGTGGAGCAAACTTTGTGCATATTAAGTAGTCAAAAAAAGTGTCTCCATTTTCCTCTACTTTCTTTTGAGGGTTATGCTCTGGGTTTGATGATGGGCTGTCTGCTACTGTACTGGTCCTTGGAGCTGGTTTCCTGACAGCTGCTGTCGAACAGTAAGCTTTGAGCCAGCAGCATCGCCCAGCTTTCTCCAAACCACCTGCCAGGCAGAAAGTACAGCTGTTGGAATTCAGTGGGAGGCAAGTAGAAATCAAATTGCACAGAGAAGAGGGTGTGATTGATCACTAAGTCATCAAACTATTTTCCAAGGAATAGAGACGCTAACCTTGTTACACCTAAAGGTTCAAAGCTTTTTTTTTTTTGCATCTTTTTTTGCATCTGAGTTCATGTTCATCTAACGGATCTTACGTTGCACATCTCCCTGACGATGGCTTTCTCCTTCTCATTGAGGTCTTCATCATGTTCCCTTGAGCTCTGGCCATCCAGCTTCTCATGAACCTCCAGCACCTAAACACACTTATAGTTAAGGACGTATCGATGAAGCTGTTCTTCACAAGCTGTAAGCGTAAGACCTTACCTTCATGGCATGGACGACAGCTTCAGGTTTCTGTCCCAGAGGAAGGTAGAAGCCTGTGGGGGACATTTCTCCACTGGAGTTCTGAGGATGGTTCTGGTGAGGACAAAGAAAGGATAAAAATTTAACCCAACATGAGGAAAATATGTCTAACTGTTGGCAACAAGTAGAGAGGAAAGAAACCGCAAGCATAACCTTAACTGAAGTCAGAGACACACAATGATTTTTATTAAAATGTACCAGAACTTACAGGAAGAAGAAAGCTACCCTAAAAGGAAGAAGCTCATTTGATGAAGCAGCTTGTAACAGGAAACCTGCTGTGTTTGCATTAACTGGCAAGAAACAGTCAGCTGATTGGTCTCATCAATAGGTCATAATGTTCTTCAATAGAAATCAGATCCCAGCCTGAGGTGTTGGCCTGTCCCAGACCACATCTGGGTCAAGCAGTACAAGGCGCTGAAAGCTTTCACAACTTTTCAAAAAGAATGACTGTTTGCACCCTAGTTGGAATATAAGAATGCTTGATTTAAGTATAAGCCATTGTAAAAACAAAGATTTATCTCCAATTAAAACTATATCAGAAAATATGGGAGACTTTCAAATCAGCTGCAGGATCATTACAGACAGTCTTTGTGTTCAGTTAAATAAACCAAAAGTTTGCATTTAAATTGGATCATTATTTGATTAATTCAGGGTAAATCAGTTTTGCTAATGGTTCGTGGTACAGTCAACAAGCTAAACAAGCCACCTTTTTAACCGAGACTGTCTAAAGAGCTATTTACCCAAGAGAGGATGTTTAATTGGTTCACTTTGACCCTGCAGAAATTACCCCAATTCAGCAAAGAAAGCAGCAAAAGTTGGTTAGCTACAACTTCAATCAGATTTGTTTTCTATAAAAGCAACCCAATGAAAATAGGTCCATAATAAAAAAAAGATGCATTTATACAACAAATTGACGTTATATGTGTGCAAAGACGATACAGGTCTTTACAAACTGATGCAGGTGTTTTAATTATTGAAATTACAGTTTATAATTAAAACCCTTTGAAAGGGGCCTACAGAAAAAAATCATCAATTAAATAATCAATAAAATAAAAGTGTGAATTACCTGCATCACCAGCAGTTTGTTTTCATCCTCCAAGATCCTCACTTTGTTTTCCAGCTCTCTTATGTAGCAATCTGATACATCTAGAAAATAAACCAAGACATATTACATTAGTTCTGATTTTGTTGATGCTTTTTAATTCCAGCTTGGTGTAAACAACCAAAGGCCTCATTTTGCTTCATCTTCTGCCAGTTTCCTTCCCATAATGCATGTTTTCTAAATGTTGGAACCCACACAAAACGATCCGCAAACACAGCTGAGAACCACATTGTTGATTTTTGTAAAAGAGATTCCAGTTAATCCAACTAATCCTGGAGCAAAATCACAGTATTTACCAGGACCCAACCCCAGTGTTCGAATGCATGTGCTGATTTCGAAGCACGTTTCCAGCAACGTGGAGGAATTTCTGGCTGAAAAGATCTACTTAGTTTGTCAGTGAATGAGGGAATGAAACCTGTTTGATCAACTTTCACCTACAATAAAAAATGCATAACCACAATCGTTTTGAAGGTATGTTTTTGATTAGAAATTAAAAATTGGGATCCTAAGCAGATGTTTTTGAGTTGCCACCATATATGATGTTGTTGCTGAAGGGCACGGCTAACTCACATGTTGTTCGCTAATATCTGTCTGACAGATCCTTTTCCTGTCAAGAGTAATTGCAACTTTGGGTGTTCCAGGATGAGTCTCTGCAAGTTTGACCTGAAAGATTAACTTAAGAATAAGGAAAAGTTGGTCTGAAAATCAGGATCCGTCTGCACAAAAAAGAACTTGAAATGAATAGATTAAAGGCATTTAGACATAATAGTCAACACAACAGCACAATAGAGTGCTAAATATATAAAAAAAAGAATAAATAATGATAAAGTACATTTACAATGTACATTAACACTAACCATTGAGTAAAAGCTCTTGTAAAACTCTGTGTAATAGAACAAAACATAATGATAATTTAAAATCATTTGGGCACATATGACACACTGTATCAAGAAATAAAAAGTTTTAATAGTTTCAAAAAAGTGCATAATAATGAAATCAAAATAAAAAAATGTATGGTTTTTAGATCTATTCATTAAGAATATATATATACCTAAATACTATTTGTTTTAAATGGCTGACTATAGAGGTATTATTTGTGCTCACTGGCCTTGATAAAAGATTGGAAGAGAAAAGCCCCCTGTGCAGTTTGCCATAAGCCATGTCGGATGCAGAGCAAACAACTGAGAACACAATCCCCCCCGTGTCACCCGATAAAGGCAGTCTGTTATGATTCTCCACTTTTGGACTTCTTTTTTAATTTATTTTTTGATATTTCAGTTATTTATCTCATTGCTTTATTTTCCATTTTGTGAAAAGGAACCAAATTAACAAAATTAACATCTCTGTTGGATAATGTCTGTCACCCCATGCAGCTGTTGCTGTTGTTGAGTGACAGACTGCAGCACCCTAAATGCACCAGGGAACGTTATCACAGATCCTTCCTCCCAGCAGCTGAGACTTTATAACTACCCCTGTTCCCAAAAAAAAACAAAATAAGTTGTTACATTCATGGTGAATTTGCACAGTTTCTATCTTAGTCAGTTAAATACCATGCTGCTGTCATTTTGCACATCTCTGATGTTGCTGCTATTTTCTAATATCCATTACTGTGAAAATGTCCATAGCCGTATATTCGTCATTTATTCTCCAGGCGCATATAACTTATATTGTGAAAACACTTTACAGTACATTATTTTATTGTTTATTTTTAACTCTTCCCTATTATTTTATTATTTTTTCACAGTTTTTTAGGTCCACCTTTATGTGACCATTTTTTCTATAATCTTTTTGCTGCTGTAAACACCAGAATTTCCCCATTGTGGGATAAAGGGATAAAATAAAGGGATAGGGATTTTCTATTCTATTCTTGAGTTATTCTCTGTTGCCCCCTTGTGCTAGTCTCCTTTCTCCTTGGCTCCCTTCTAGTTACTTCTATCCACACCTGCTCCAAATCAGCCCATTCTTTGTTCTGTTCCCAATATGCCTCCTCTGCAGTTCATCATTGCTGGTTTCTCGTTGTTACTTGGCTCCCTTATATGTGTTTTCCCCTCAAGTCTCCTGGTTTTTGGTTTCCTGTATTTTGTTCTTGGATTTTGTTTCTGTTGCCTTTTTGACTTCATTAAACCTGCAAGAACTCACCTCTGCCTCCCTCATCTCTGCATTTGGGTCCTAAATCAACCTCCACCCTATGTTTACAGCATCATTTTTTCCTCAGCAGAGACGATAAAATCCCAGAGTTGAATATAATGGAAGATTCCCAAGGAATAAATTTAGGTCTGCAGTATTAAAATGAGAACGTCAACACTGCTATATAACGTGGCCTGAAGAAAAGCTCCCATCATCAGCCTGTTCTGACCAACTGATTTGCAGCAGAGAGACTTTTTCCTGGAGTCACTGAAAGCTGTTCTGAACACAAACATCAGCTGAGACTGCAGATCTATCTGGGAAAACGCAACATGGTTCCACACCCACTTTGCAGTAACATGATGCCACAGTTCAATTCTTGCCATGTAAACAGACTTTCATAAATCTATTTTCATCTAGCACGACAGGAGTGAATTACATGAGAGGCCTGGCTCAGTGGTAACTCCTGGAACAGAAAAACAAAATAACTCATTCAGTCTTTAGCAGATTAGTTTCAGATTGGATGAGCAGGGTTGGTTGTGCACTGGGCTGAGGTATCATCAGGTTGTTGATTTGTTCCCCTGTATACAATCACAGCTAACATCCTGGGAGATGTAGTCAAAGTCACTGCTGCAGAGAAACTGCTGACCTCACGTGCAAACACCAGACCAGACAGTGCTGACAAAATAAAACAGAGGACATCCTTCAATTACAGACGGTCAGCACAGATCCAGTTAGCCTTCCGGAGCCAATGTGTCTCCTCATAAAGACGCAACCTCGTTTTTAACCTGCTTCACTTTCCCTTTAAAGCAGAAGACTTCCATCACTGCATGGCAGCTGGTCCAGCAACAATGAATAATAGTCTCATGTTAAATTTAATTAAAGCCCCTGGTGTTTTTGGACAACTATTCAAATGTAAGATAAAGGTTAAATTTCAAAGTATCTGAAGCTCAAAATTCCATCAGAATGGATGAAAATGGGCTGATAATGTCTCACATAATACAAATACACAAATGCATGTATGTTTAAATACTAACAATATTTAGACATACATCTGATAGGTTAAAAAAAAATTACAATATTGGTGAAAAACTGTTGAAAATATATAATGCAAAATTCTTTGTTTTACCAGGATGTTTTAGGACATAAAGTCAATGTTCGACAGTCGAGTTAAAACTGCTCAAAAGTTCAGATTCAATGTTTTCTTAAGTAACTAACATGCTATTTAATCACTTCTAAAAAAGCTACCCTCATGGCCGTCCCTAACCAGTTGATTTCTTGTTCTTATGTTAGCGCAATTTACCAGCCCTGGAATGTGCAGTTCTCCTGTAAACCAGGGTGTGGCACCAGTTAATTTACTAATTACTCTTATTTAAAATTCCAATTGTTACTATAGCAACCATAAACTGAAACTATCTAACATTAAACATGACAAATATAGAAATCTCCTTTCAGAACTAGTATTTATGGGGAGAAAGGAAAGTTATAGGTCTCAGCAGGTCATCTAAGAGTCTTCAATGTAATTAAAGAACAAAAGCTCAAACTATTTAATGCATATGATTAATTCTATTGATGGTTATATGGTGATTAATTTATACAGCATACATTAATAAATCAGTGTCTATATTAATAAGCAAGTTCTTAATAAAAATGTTTTATCCTCAGTTATTTTTTTGGATCATTTCGATGTTATGCATGTTCATTTTCCTGTTGGTACAGCATAGATCAACCCTGAACTGGTTTAGTCTCCTTTTGGTTTTCAGCCACCCTGCCGTTTACATTGGACCCTGCCTGGCCACCCTTTGAATATTTTCTGACTCCGCCTACTGCATCCAATAGGAAAAACTTTTTATTCTGTGAGTAAAAAAAGTTGAAAAGCTATTTATAAACAGAATAGAGGAATTCTCAATTTTCTTTGAAATACTGGAAAATGTAATTTTTTTGTGAGTCCATTATTGTACAATCTTGCCCAATGCTCTGGGTGCAATGTTTCCTCCTTAATCTTTGAGATATAAAATAAACCATGGAGCTAAACTATGAAATCTCTTTGAGAACAGCGGTTTCAGAAAAGACACAAGGTTTGTTTCTAAATCCAACCATGCGATAAAAAAAATCTAATAAATCTAACTAACTGTTGGAAAACAAGAGCAATATTAAAGGGAAACATATTATTGGTTTAAAGGAAAGATTAAGTGGATTTAAAATGATGAATGAGTGGTTTAACTCCCCAGCCTGTAAACATGTTTGGACTGGTTAAACTGGTAGTGGCTGATTTTTGACACAGTTCATCTCTGTAACCAAATGCGCCACCTGGAATATTAACATTTTGGACACATTACCACACATTAAGATAGTTGCACAAGGATTTTTATCATGAGATTAAGGTTTATTAGAATGAAAAAAAAAATTGTCAGGACCTATTTGAGTATTTCTTAAAATAAACTGTGTTCTGTTAGTTTTAAACTCATCAATATTTTAAAATAACTGTATTCCTGGCTTTTATTGCAGAAAATATTTCAATGTTTATTTGAATTTTTGCACGGGTATCTTTTGCAGTGTCTGCCACCGCTGCCTTGCAACAACAATTTCTTTAGTTAAAATCCCAATCAGAGGTCTTTATGCATTAAGTTTGCATGTTTCCCACTGCATCTATGGGGAGAACATGATTATTAACCAATTAATTTGAGTTGCACAAATGCATGAGTGTGTTTCCTGTCTTTTTTCAATTCAGTTTATTTATATAGTGCCAATTCATGACACATGTCATCTCAAGGCACTTTACAGTTCAACCAGATCATACAGTCAAATTGATTCAAAGTTTTCTATCTAAGGAAAACCAGTTGATTGCATGGACTCATTGACTCAAATGCAATCCCTCACACTAAGCATGCTTGTAGTGACAGTGGAGAGGAAAAACTCC